AGCAAATGGCTCGACGTGGCTGGATGACCATGGTTTCATGACTCTCACCTCCTCTTAGCATGGATGTGCCCTCATCCTTTTCTTGATGACCGTGAGAGCCCACTTGTTCTTGGAGACTTTGAGTAGATGCATCATCTGTATGGGACAGAGTCACACATCTTGTGGGTCATGTCCCGTAGGAACTTGGTGTGCTTCATAAAATGACAGTGGTGGCTTACCTGGGCTTGCCTAGTTCTTGCTCAACTATAACCCCTGTTGGGACCTATGGCCATGGAATGGCACAAAGGCAGGTTACTGTTCTTCAATGGCTGCCATGATGAAAAGGCATAAATAAATGTACTGTTGTATCACAGATAAGAGGTCCTTACACAATAATTGTGGGGTCAGCAGAGGAAATGTTGCCATATCAGCCAATTTCTCAAATGTTGCCATATCAGCCAATTCACACTGTTTGATTAGTTTCCAATTAGTTACTGTACAAAGCTCTAGAAACTTCAGGGTCTTGTAAGTATCCTACAGGGTGTAGTTAGTTAATTGGGTTAAAGTTTTTTTAACCTTGGCATTATTGACATTTGGGACCAGATAATTATTTGTAATGGGGGTAGGGGTGCTATCTGACCTCTACTTATGCATCTCCCTTTGGTAATAACCAAAAATGTAGTTGTCACCTATTAGGGACAGGAAGACAACATTATCCCTAATTGAGAACCACTGGGCTAAATCATACCTTGCTTCCAGGAGTCTCTCTGTTTGACACTGTGACCTCCTGCCTTAGTCAACTCTGGCTGCTATAATGAAAACCATTGACTGAGTGGCTTAAACAACAAAATATATGTCTTGCAGTTCTGGAGGCTGGAAATCCAAGTTCAGGATGCCAGCATGGTCAAGTTCTTGTGAGGGCTCTCTTTTCTGGCTTGTAGATAGCCATCTTACTGTATCTTCATGCGGAGGAGGAAAGCACTGTTCTATTCGTTTTCTCATAGGGCACTAATCCCATCATGACCGCTACAGTCTCATGACCTCATCTAAGCCTAATTTCTTCCAAAAGACTCACCAACTCAAATACCATCATGTTAGGCAATAGGGCTAAATTTTGAGGGGACATAAAAATGTATTCCATAGAACCCTATATTGTTGAATTTGTACAATCAACTGCAGTTGGTTCAAATTTAGACCCTCTTAGCTTAAAATACTATGGATTAATTTTTAGTATTTCTCATTGACTTTTCTGAATTTATTTGGGAGAAAGAAATCTCGGGTTTCAAATGACAAAACTTTATTTTGCTTTGGAATATGTAGAACAAAGTTGAGAGGTAAGATTAAGATTGAAAATAAATAAATAGATAGATAAATCCAAACATTACTTAAAACATATTCTACTGAATATATCTGAGCCCTGAAAGCAAGTTTCAAAGTGGTTTCTGGTAACCAGAAAACCTGGTTTCCTAGTTTGAAGGGATTTGTCTCCATTGGTAACTTTACTGGGGTTGAATTTGTGGCACTAAAGTCCATTATATTTAAGGATATTGTGTTTACAAGCTCTCCTTAATGTGATCTCCCTCACAAATAATGCCACTGCTTTGAATATATATGTCTTTATTCTGTGGGCTTGGTTTAGTGTCTAGAGTCTGTATCTCTCCTTGTGTGTTAGGTTAGTTGCAGTTGGAAGAATAGCTAGGAGCAGGGATGGGAGCTGTGACTCTTACAGTCAAAATCGACATCCCAATTGTATGAGTTTCCCTGGGACGCTGCTTTTCCTCGAGGGTCAGGTTTTCTTCTGAGTAAAAAATGTTAAATGTATGACATAATAAGACTGGAAAATGGATTGAGACAAATTCAGTTTAACTGTCTTCAAAACTGTCTACCTTCGAAACATCTGTTTCCTTAAATACAAAGATCTGTAAATTACACATATGAATTATTCTTTGTAACTCATAATATCATCTTAGGTAATTTTTCAGCATTACCATCAGAAAACCTAATAATTTATTAGACATACCCTTTCTTTCTCTTATTTGTAGATTCTTTACAGAGTGGGTGCCCTGGGAAGCAGATGGGAGGGAGAGCAGCATGCAGATTTAGTAGTAGTGCTCTGGGAACTGTTCCTCCCTCCATACAAGGGAGAGGTTGTACCGTAATGCTGTTTCAGCAAAGGCCTCAGCAAGCCCACAGGAAGCTACTAGGCTGCCATGACCTTTCAGAATTGTCTCAAGTTGGGGTGAAGGAGTAAGCTTTTATACACTGGTGTCAAACAGCCATTGGGTGAGTCACTGTCTTCAGGTGGAGCAATGCTACCAATGGCCGACAGCTATAGGCTGGCTACCAACAACCTTCCCAGCTGTGGAGGGAAGAAATCTTCCAATCCAGAAGGAGGACCTGGACAGCACATCAGTGTACACTATAGGTGTTACACTTAGTAACATTAGACGAGTGAGGAGATTTCTGAACTTTTGTGGAAAAATGGAATTCAAGTAAGAGTTTATTTTGGTACAAAAATATTTTGAAATCCGTGCA